TTCTGACTTTCGGTTTCCACATCAGATGCACTTGACCTGCTGGTCACCCTCTTAGCACTGATTTAGTGATTATAGTTAAACAAAAGAAAAAAAAGAGGAGGGTGTGACCTAAATTAGAACCCCTACATTACAAGGCTGCCCCTCTTCACAGAAAAGGCTGCCAAAGAGATCACCTTCATTCTTCATAAACACCCTGAGTCCTGGGAACTGCTCACCTAGGATGGTACTGTTTTATCAATGACTCTAAGCACAGCTGTCATTTAATGAGTGCCTGCCCTACCCTGTGAATCACAGAATCATCTCATTCAACCCTCATAAGCACCCTACAGGAATGTTATTATTACTTCTGCTTTGAAGAAACTGCAGCTCAGAACATTAAATGACTTATCCAAGATCAGGTAGTTAACAAGTGGTAGATCCAGATTTGAATCTAGAACCCAAATCAAAGTAAAGCAGAGGCAGAAGAATCTGAGCTTCTGTCAACTCAACACAGCAGCAGAACACTGGCATCATGTCCGAACACAGCATTGGGTGTCATCTGTGTGTAATGTTTGCAAAGCTACCTGCTGGGTACAGGACTTAAGACACTGACGGTTCCACTAAGACTGTTTCCACGGACGGCCGTGGGTGCAAAGTCACACGTGGTGCACAACCTAAAGTCTGTGCATGAGGAGTTAGCCTGCAGGCAGGTCTCCTGATCACCAGGAGGGGCTCAGTCTGCACCTGCAATCATGGGCCAGAGCATCAGAGAGCAAGAACCACGTCCCCAAGAGAGAGAAGGCCCATGTGCAAAAGCGGTGTCTAATGATTTGAAGCTTAATAAAGCAGTACTTCCAGAAGCATCTTCTATGCTTTTTTGTTTCCCCTTATGGGGCCAATGCATAAAGGGTTAAAAAACAGACAAAACCTGCACAGTTCAACCTTACAAAGGACTTGCAAATTTAACCCGTTGTTTCCTCACACTTTTGATGTTGCAGAAAGAGAAGGAAGCGTTAGCTCTGCTGAGAGTGAGGCAGTTGGGATGGGAGGCGTGGCCGCTAGCAGCCCACCCAGGTAAGGTCCCAGGTCCCCTGGCTCCTGCCTCACACTATTCCCCTCAGGCAACGCAGGCGACCTGCTTCACGTGGGCCCCTATGCAGGCCAATAAGAGACTTTCCTACAAAACTCAATGCTGCCAGGCGGCAGAGAAGAAGAAACATGTTGAATGACAAAACACAAGTCTCACATTCTAGAACCAAGAGGTTAAAAAACAAAACCAGAAGAAAAAAAGCAATTAGGCACTGTTTCCCTCTCACAAAAATTTGGGTGAAAAAGTTGGGTGAAAGAAAAGAGTTCCTATCAGCTTCTGATGAGAACATTTGGAACATCCTCGAAAACAGAAGCATTCTTCTCAGAGCTGCCCAGACATAGACACTTGTCATGTTCTGGAACAGCAAGCCCACTGGGACCTCAGCGTGGCATGGGGTGGACAAAGAGCTCCGGAGTGAAACAACAGGATTTCCAAGTTAGCTGCATCTGCAGACTGGCTGTGTGACTTTGAGCAAGGTTGCTTAGCCCCCGTGCAGCCCAGTAACCTCACCAGTCAGATGGGAGAGTCGATATTCTCCCCGAGGGCCCCACGGGGCTGTAACAAGCCTGGAGCTATCGCTGAGGCAGCAGAGCTGTGTGGCCCTAGGTAACTTGATGATGACCAGCCAGCTGCCTAGCAGTCCCTTACCTCTTCTTTTTAATTTGGAAAATGCTCTTTAAAATTAATAAGCATTTCACTTTGACATGTTTGCCCCAGTGAGTTGTTTGGGTTTCCCATTCACATTGGATACTCCTTTCTGGTTCTCTCTGGAATGGGTCATGCTCTTTCACAAAGATCAAACAACTCCAGGCCAAATGCCAGAGACCACAGTCCTTAGGCTGGAAGCTTCTTGCACCTTCCCTGGGCCCCAAGACATCAGGGATTCTGGCTCTGCCACAACATGACCTCGGCACTCTCACACATTTTCTCATAAGGGAGAAGCAAGGCCTGGGAGTGAGAGCCCTGAACACTGACCGTAAGGCCTGACCTGTCCTGCTGCATGCTTCCAGCTAACCATGCACACACTGGGTCAAGGGCTCGTGCCTCTGGAGCCCTGCCTCCTGGCAGCCAAACGAGAGGGCTGAGGCTAGGACCCCCTGGAACCTCTGGGGTGCACTCCTGCTCCAGTGTTCTGTGACTTGGGAACATCCACCCTACCCCGCCTTACTTCCTAAATCTGTATTTACTGTGGGGATGCTAGCCTTACACTCACAGATGCCTGAAAATTCCTCTGTAAGGAGGCGAAAACCAACTACATTGTATATCAATAAATTTAAAAAATTCAAAAATAAATAAAAAGATGATGCTTGAAAACGCAGACCCCCCTGAGAGAGGGCATTTGTCCTCACGCCCTCTGGAAGGCAAATGAATTTCCTGAGAGCTGACCTACTAGAGAATATGGCCTTACTTCTGCTCTTTCCTGTCTGTAACTCTGAGACGTCACCATGCTGCACTTCAGAGTCCTCATCTATAAAACGGACATGATAATACTCACCTCTTCAATATGCAGAGAGATTAAGTTAAACTGTAACCTTACAGTAAGAGGTCAATAAATACCTCCTGTTATTTTTGTATGCACAGTTATTAAATCTCCAAGAAAGATGGAACACAGATAGGTAAGAAAGATCCCTTAGTCAGTATTCTGCGAGGGGGTCGATATATATTCACCTTCTAAATGAAAATATTCAAGCAGGACGTACCTGAATGTTGTCACTTAAAAGTCCTTAGAGACAACATTAGAGAGCCATGACAACAGGAGGAAGAGAAACGGCAGTGGAGGGGGTGGGGGGAGCGGAGCAGAGACCAGTGCAACATTCCAGAGAATATCAAAGGCAAAACCAGGATAAGAACCTGGGTTTCCAGGCTCCGAGGGCAGAAGAAGCACCTGAGCTGAAGAAGACAGACAGGAAGACTCACCCACACTCTAGACCTCAGAACAGCTCCTACTCCTCCAGTTTGTTAATAGCTGTAAAGGTATCCACCATCAGAGACCAGGATATTAGCTGCCGCAGGTGCCTATAATCCTTTCTTGTGGGTAAGAATATGGAAAAACAACCAATCTCTGTAGGTCTAGGAAGCCCAGAGGCCCTCTGCACTTTGGATTCTCAGCTGGATTATAGACACCCATGAAATTATTCTATTTGGGTTAAGTAACAACAGGCCCTTTTCCTCTAATAACTCCAAAATGTTTCCCAGACATTACCTTCTCAATTAGTTCAAACCACGGAGATGAAAAAAAACCAAAGCGCACATCCTTAGATCTTGCTCATGTGGCTGCCATCAGATTTCCATAATCAATAGCTTGAAAAAATCATAGGCTAGGTGGCAAACTAACTGGAAGGCAGAAAAATTTGATTACAAGATCTGTGCCAGACATACAGAAGGTATTCAAGAAATGTGTGTTGAGTAAGCAGATAAATGAAGTGTACTAGCCCTGTAATCCGACTTAGCTAAGGTCCCTAAGAGCTCTGTGACAATGGATCCTGTGCCTCACTGACCTCTGTCCCAGGAGGGGATGAGGATGCTCAAAGCAATCATGAGAATCCCACGACATCATGTATGTAGAGTCTCCTGAACAATTCTTGAAATACAGTGAGCAATGAAATAAATTCATTGCCTCTATCCCTCTAAAGAAATCACATTCTTAAAATGAAAAAAGTGCCTCATAAGAGTTTTTATAGTCAAAGTCAGCTGGGAGAGAAAGCAGGGCCCCAGCGGGGTTTGCTAAGTAGAATGTAATGCGTTAACGGCAGAACCGTGACTAGAACCCAGATGACCAGCATCCTGTCCAGCTGTTTCCTAAAATAACCAAGAATTTGCCAGTACCACGCATTTTCACTGGCAGTTTCCTCACCTGGAATGCCAGTCTTTCCCACATTGCCTGTAATACAGTCACCTGTCAAGTCTTGGCTTCAAAATCGCCTCTCCTATAAAATCTTTCTTGACTCTCCAAGTCCTAGTCAGAACGGGCATCCCCATCACATGACCTAGTGCATACCTCTATTTTGGGCCTGTAACACTTCCTTTATAAGTCTGCTATCTAATTCATCTCGATATTCATAGTACTGAAAATTGTGATTAATACATAATAGTATATGCTTAGAAAATAGCTATTGAATAACTGACTGAATGAATGAATGAATTTTTTTTTTTTTTTTTGTCTTTTTCCGTGTCCGGCAACGGATCGCAACCCTCAGTGTTGCCCCCGTACCGGACCGGGGACCGGCAACGGGATCGCAACCCTCGGTGTTGCTCCAGTGCCTCGCTCAGCCAGTGAGCGGGAACCGGTCTGTATGTGGGATCCGAACCCTCGGGCGGGAGCGCCGCCGCGCTTCCCAAGCGGCGCACTATAGCAGTGCGCCACCGGGCCGGCCCCAGTCTTGGTAGTTTTTATGTGTCCAAAAATTTATCCATTTCCTCAAGGTTTTCAAATATTTTGGTGTGTAGTTGTTGGTAATAGTCTGTAATGATTCTTTTTATTTCTGTGCTATCAGTTGTCTCCTCTTTCATTTTCGATTTTTGTTATTTGGTTTTTTCTCTTTTTTTAGTTAGCCTAGCTAATATGAATTATAAATGACTAATTCTAGACAGAGTATCCTGAAGGTAGAATTTTCAAAATCCTACCTTTATTGACATTGAAAATGCCACATAGGTTTGCAGTCACCTTCAGAGTTCATGAGACCAAACTATTCACAGGGTCACAGAATATCCCGGTACCTGTTCTTTGAGCATTTGGTGATACCTTTAGAGTAGTGGCTATTTGTCTTCTAATGGCACTTAAAAATTGCAATATTCACCTTCCTCTGTCCTCCTAAGTTTCCTTCCCATCACCTGGACAACAGGCAGCAAAAAATGTTCATTCCAGCCTTTCAAGCAAGCTGGTAAGAGCAGCCTATCACAGCACACAGGTCTGGACAGGAATGGGCCTTACCTCTCTTCGTCCTTAAAGATGAATTTCCGCAGCTTGAGGTCCCTCAGCACCAGCCCCCCGTCGTGGCAGTGGGCCACAGCCGAGGCGATCTGGTAGAACAGTCTGGCCGCCTCCTCCTCCCTCAGCTTCTTGCAGGTACGGACAAAGGAATGCATGTCCCCATAGCTTCGCTCAAAGAACACATAGGCTTTGGTCTCACCCAGGATAATTTCGGTGATTTGGTTGATGTTGCTATGGGCAGACAGGCAAAAACATGGTGCCAGGGACTCCTGGTAGCAGCTGATATCAAACACCTAGGACAGGATTAACAAGACTGTTGTCAGAGGTGCCTCTAGCACAACCAAGTCACAGAATGCTGACCCCTCTCACAGACATGGCTTTGGACATGACAGAAAGTGTTAAACTTAGACCCAGACAATACCAACCCCACCTTTTACCAGCTGTGATGCACTGGACAAATCACTTGACCTCTCTGAGCCTCCAAGTCTTGATGTGTAAAATGGGCAAATGACCCTTGACTCATGGGGTCGGGAGAATTTTATGAGGAAATGAAGGTAAAAGTGCTTTGCAAAAATGTAATACAGCACACAAATGGTAAATTTTATTATTTTTCTCTCTAGCCCAATTGCCTCTGTATATAGAAGAACTAAGGCAAATTCTGAGAGAAAGTGACCCACGCCTAGTGACACAGACAAAACCTTATTTACCTTTAAGAAAAAATGCACATCAATAGGCATTATACAACATATTAGCAATTAGCAGATTAAAAATCTTGACTTTGCCTAATGGTTCTTTAATTCAATACATTCATTTTACAGATGTGGAAACTGAGGCTCAGAGAATGAGCCAAAACTCAAGTCCCCAGCGGCAGACCTAGGACTACGACACAGTCTTTTTAAATAGGGAAGTAGACTGGCTTCTTCTGCAAGCCTTCCCTCCACAGATATCTAACTCAATGAACCAGCTACACAATGATTTTTTTATGAATCAAAATTAGCCTGTGAAATGCTACCTCATTGTGGGGTTGTTTAAAAGGAAAATGCACCATCAATATCTTTTGAAATAGAGCTAACAGATATAAACACTACAGAGAATTTTTGAGGTTATAAAGAAAAGCTTTCATCCATTTCAAGACCTGCACTAAATCAGGAATCTAGACCCTGGGTTTGGAATGTGGTTTTCCTATTTGCCTGGGAATGTGGGTAAGATGAATCTATTTGTCGTGTGGGTGAGCGAGGGGCAGGCATGACTGCGCTTTGCTGGAAGGCATCTAGGGCAGGAATGCCTTAACAATACACTTCATGTTATCAGTTCACAATCATTCAGCTTTTTAAACAGCTTTTGAATTAGTTGGAACATACTTTCATTTTCCATTTTTTATTTCATTTTGCATCGTGGTGGGAAAAATGCTGTCCTAGAAATCACCAACCTTGAGGCTCTAATCCTGGCCCTGCCACCAATAATCTGGATGAGATGAATAAGGCACTTAGGGCCGCCTCCCTCCGCTTCACAAAATGAAGACGTTGATTTAGAACACTGATGACCTTTTTTGGGTCCTGATCCCACACGAGCATCTGATAAAAGCTCTGTTCTCTCCTGGCTGACAATGCCCATTCTCAACTCAAATACACAGACAATATTGAATTCATTTTAAGGGGATTTATAGGCCTTCCGAAGCCTATCCAAGGACACAGGCTGTCATTTAAGAATACATGAGTTAAGTCGCTCTAAGCTTCAAAAAAGAAAAAAATCTGTGAGTCAAATAGGGATAGTAAGAACCTCAAGAGGGCTGGCGCTAACCAGGCCGGGGAAGCAAAGTTAACAGTAACATTGTGAATGAACCATAATGAGGCATCTCAGGAAAGCAGCACAGCTGCTGCCACTATAGCCTAGAATTTAAGAATGAATACTTCAACATCTCCAGAGACCACAAATCATGCCCTGATACTGTCAAATGATGACCTAAGAGCAGTGACCTCAAAGGCCTGTTCAATTAGGCATCTGAAATGCTGGATCAACTTTAACACCCAGACTGCAGGCAATAGAAACCCGGGTAAGCCTCAGAAATTTCAGAGTAATAAGCGCACTGCAGCAGTGGCTAACGTAAACACTCTGTATTATATAACGAGGGTGATGTGCTCTGAAGCACCAGACTGCACTCACTGTTGGCAGAGCTCAAAGAGGTACGATTATTTATAATGCACTTCCTGTTTGCAGTTTCGTTTTTAAAAAATAAAAGGTGATTTTTGGTCAACACTTTTAGCCTATTATTCTGCCCCATTGTTGAAAAACTGAAAGGACATAGAATTTAAAAAAAAAAAAAAATCAAACATATTCACGGCAGCTTCAAAATATAGCCATACTCTTTGTAGAAAAGATCAAATTCCAAGATGGTGGACAGAGTATAAAAAATAAAACAAGTACTTATGTTTTCCCAAATGGGAAGGAGCCAAACTTTTATTAGTAGCTATAACAGGCATTTATGGGCTTGGATTGGTATTTAAACCAACACCTTCAAGTGCAAAATCAAGTCACAAGCCTGGTTGCCAGTTTCTTTTAAATGTTTAATTTGGAGCCTTAGTTATATAATGTGACAGTTCAGATTAGGCAGTAAGATTAGGCCATCATTAATAATATTTGCAAAAAAAAATAGTGCCTATTCTGCCAAGATAGTAATTATGTCAATCTGCACAGTAGCTACCAGCATTTCCATGAAAACGATACAGCTAAAGACCCCCTAAAGCTCCTTCCTGCATGTGCCCAGCAAAAGTAGGCACAAAGAGACAATAAACAGGCTTGACTATTTTGTTTAAATGACCCTGGAATCTCTCTTTCCCCAAATAATGTCCTATATAATTCTCTATACGGTTCTCTGTAATAAATAGCATCTTTACATTTGATCTGTTTTTACACAGACTTTTTTCTTTGGTCAACACAGAGCTAGGAAACATGAACCGTATATTCTAAGAAGACATCAAAAGGAACTTGATTCAATGTGTAGATTTCACTGAGCCTTGAAGTAAGCTAAGAGCCCACAGTATATATATCTTGGGGTACTGCATAGAAGCAGCCTTATAAAACTCACTTGGAGCTTCCCAGGATATATACAACTATGCTTGTGTAAGAAGTCACCCACATCACCTCTGGTAAAAAGTCAGGAAAACAGAAGCTGCTGTGTCTTAAAGGGATGACCTCTGTCAAGCAGAACAATGATACTGCACTTAAATCCACTTGCAGCCACACTGTAATTGGTGAGGGGCTGATTCAATCTTTGCAATAACTAAACCAGCAGATTAAGTACAGTTTTAGGCCAGAGAGCAAGTCTGCCAATGACACTGTAAGGTCAGCCCAAAATGAAATGTATCTTGAATCTGAAGGGAGAAAGCACAGAGACCAGAGTCACCTCTGATTTCAAACAAAGAAATAAAAGCAAGATGCTTCTGCAGAATCTGGCTGCAAAGTCCTTTACTTAAAACCATCTCCAGTCTTTGAAAAATATTAAAATGCTGTACTGAAGTTGAGCAAAAGGAGTGAAAACACTCACTGCTGGGTGATTGTGCATATTTCATACAAGAGTGGCAGCTCTGTGGAATTCATTCATTTCAATGGATGACTATCCTATTGTGCAACCTTGTAGGACTTCTGAGACTTCAATCCAGCTTTGAATAGCCTACTGAATTTTGGTTAACCGGGCACAGTTGCTCGAGGTCTCAGTTACTTGGAGAAGATGCAAAATACCAAATGCTCGGTGCATGCAAAAAGCAATATTTAAACAGTCTCCAATTTCCCCCAAAGGTCTGAACTGAACAATTGCAAAACTGACTGTAGATCTCCACTGAACCCAATTTTTGCAATAAAATGCTCCAGTCCAGTATAAAACAAGGCAAGTCCACAAAGCAGTCTGTGGTTTATGGTAAAAGTGTGATGCATTATTTGTAGCATAGCTGTGCACAGTGACCATGTCAAAGGCAGCATGGGCCCCCACTCCCCTCTTACTCCACCCCTCCCCCCACAAAAAAAGCACAACAGTGAGCATATCTAAAATTAAGTGACAATAAATTCTTGATCTATGTCCAATTCTGGGTAGCAGTATGCAAAACTGCAGTTGTTTTTCAACTATCCTCCTCCTTGCTCCCTCGCCTGGTGACCTGTGGCTGCATACAAAGACACACACATACACAAAACAGTCACTGTTCAGGGTCAAAGACAAAAAGGAAACTGAAGTGTCCATCTCAGTATTAGCACTTTAAATCCCTGGAGCTCCAACACCAGCCTCTAAACCTTCCAGGCTAGTGTGTGTGTTGAAGGGGGAGGAGGGGTGTGTGTGGGCACAGAAGTCTAGAAATGAGAAGAAACGGGAGTCCAGAGGGGAAGACCCAAAGGATTCACTATTTACCCAAAGGTGCACTGGAGGCTTTGATTTCCACCCCAACCCTCCTTTCAAGGCTCCAGGCAGAAGAAAGGTCTTTGTAAACTCCTTCCATGCTCTGGGCCCCCGGGCTCAGCTGGAGGGGACACCTTTGTGCGTCTTTTTTAAAGGGCACCTTATGAACAAAGGTTTAACACCTGCATGCTGCTAAGAACAATGGCTGCGAAAGGAACGAAGTCATCAGTGTCTTCAAATTAGCTGGGGATTCCCGACTCCGTGTTGGAAGAGGAGGGGGCTAGACAGGGACAAATCCCCCGGGCGGCGGGACCCGGCCTCGCGCACGGGAGCTGCACGAGCCTCTCGGAGCACGCGTTTCGGTGGCCCCCGCGCGGTCCCGCCGCCCTGCCCTGCCCTCCCCTCCCCGGGCTCTCCCCAAAACGCCCCCGCTGCAGCCCGCCGCATTGTCTGAACCGGTCTAAAAACTTCGCAGCTAGTCGAACGTGAACTAATAAATAAATAAATCCATTTAACGAGGCCACAGATAACTATACCGCGAATCTCCCTCCCCCAGACTCGGGGACTCAGGGACCTCCCGCCCTCTCCGACCGCTTCCAAAGCGCCGAAGAATCATTTTTAAAGACAAAAAAGCAAAACTCCACCCCGGGCCCTTTACCTTGCACACCAGCTCCTCTCCGCTGTGCAGATGCACGGCACGAAAAACGTGGTCTCCCTCCAGAGGTTCCAACAATAAGTATTTCCCGATGCAAGAAACGCAATGCGACAAGTTCGGAGTCTCGGGCGGGCTCGGGGAGCCGAGGTTCGGGCTGAAACTCTGGCTGGGCTCAGCGGACCTTATAGACGACAGCTCTTCGAAATCCTGGGTTTTATTCCGCGATCTCCCATATCTCGCTATTGTGATGGGGGTAGACCTGTGTATGTTCATGAGTGTGGGGATCGCGCACGACAAACAAAAAAGCCCGCTGGAGAGATGAGTCGCTGGCGAGTGCGGCTGCAGGCGCCTCCGTGCCGCGGATTTAAAAAGGGGATGAGAGACGAGGGGACGGGAAAGGGGGGCTGTGGGGAGAAAGGGTGAGGATTCCCCAGAAGGTGCCGCCGGGCACCGTGTATGCTCCGAGTCCGGCTCCCGGTGCGGGGGACGCGGTCGGCGGGCAGCTCGGGTCCTTTTGTTACCCCCGAGCAGGCAGCGATGTGCAGCAGCGCCTCACTTTTAGTTTTCCTCTCTGTCTGTTCCCACCGTGGATCGAGATGAGTAACCGGACTGCTAAGGAGGGGAGCTGCGGCGCCGGTTTCCCGAGGCGGTCCCCAGGCAGGCTTCCCACTCGCGGACCGGGCGGAGGAGCCCCGCTGTAGTTTGTGCGTCTTCGGGGAGCGCACGGCGGCGGCTCGGTCTGACCCAAAGAAAAAGGAAAAGGACACCCCAGAAAAAGGAAAAGGAACTAAGCACGGGTCCACCGGCTCGCGACGCACGGCGGCCAGATCCGCGCTGCACCCCCTTTTTTGGTGGAAAGGGTGGGGGGCGTGGAAGTGGGGGGGGGGTGCCGGAGAGGGCAGTTACCTACGTTTTAACTGTAGATGGCGTCTGAGACTTTTCCAAGATATATCAAGCGCTCTCCAAAAATTCAACAAACAAACAAAAAAAGGAAAATAGCAAGAGAGCATTTAACTTGGAGCGGTCAGCGCTGCCAACAAAAGATTGCAAAGGCTGGGCACAGAGTGGCGGCGCGGGCCGGGCGCAGGGCCGGCCACAAAGCCCGGGGCTTGGCCCGCCGCGCGGAGGTCAACACGGGCTCATGCTGTCGCCTCTCCCTCGCGCTCCGGATCTTCCTCCTAGGAAAGCGAGAAGTGCGGGCAGGGTCGAGGGCAGATCAGCGGTCTCCGAATTCCCAGGCTCGAGCCTCCGGGGGTCTTGCGCGCTGCAAGGGGATGCTCCCCGGTGCTGCCAGCCCGCGGCGTTCCTCCCCGCTGCAGAACTGGATCCCGCCTTGGAGTGATTGGCAACCACTCGGTCTCCCGTGTCCTGAACCCAAATTGCCGGCGGGGGGTTGTTTTGGAGAAAATTGACCGCTTTCCTCCTTCTTTATTATTTTTTTTCTTGCCCCCCAGAGGGGAGAGAGGACTGTGTATTTAAAAATGAAAGGGGACGGCGGGCCGACGGTGCCCGAGGCCAGTCCCCGCGCTCAGCACGCCCGCATCTCCCGGCGAGGCGGTATGAACGGCTCCTTACGTGGCCGGGGATCTCGGAGCGAGCGGGGCCGTGTGTGCGCGCGCGCCTGGCTCGCGCTCGGTCTTCCCATTCAATGTCACCGACACATTTCCACGGAGCCTCCGCCCCCCGCCCCCCCCCCCCC